CTTTTCCACCAAACTGTATTTCAAGGAGCCAGGCATGGTAATGTGCACCTGTAATCCCAGCTACTCTGGAGGCTGAAGCAGGATGCTGACTTGAGTCAAGTTCAAAGGCAGCCTAGTCAAGCCTCATCTCAAAACAACAAAAGAAACTGGGTGTGGTGGCCCACACCTTTAGTCCCAGCACTCAAGAGGCAGAGGCAGGAGGATCTCTATGAATTCAGGGCCAGCCTGGTCTACATAGTGAGTTCTAGGCCAGCTAGGGCTATAGGGAGACCCTGTCTCAAAAAGACCAAAACAAAACAAAACAAAACAGGAACAAAACCCATTCCCATTACATCAAATTCTATTAGGATAGAAGCAAGAACATTTTATTGCCTTAATAGATGATAGTCCCATCAGAGGGAGACGTGTTCCCAGTCAAGAACTCTGCATCTTCATCAGTGCTTGGTGTTGCTGAGCGCCCACATACACCGCCTCCTACTCCCATCCTGCAGGCGTCAGCCGGTTCCAAGCTTAAGAAAACAGATGAAGATGGTCTATGGAACAGAGAGGATGGAAAAGGAAGAAAAGAAAGAAGTAGAGAGGGAGGGTGGCATGGAAATGAAAGCTTTGCCAGGTACCATGGGACCCCAGGAGCATCAGGAGCTGTCTGTATCAGCTGATTTATTGTTCAAACTAAATAAAGCATCCAAATTCTAGGAGTTCATTAGCCCAGATGACCAGGAGAACCTGTCTCACTGACTTTGTAGGCATCCCAGGAGGGTCCCCAGCATCCATAGGTAGTGGCAGTGACTGGGGTTTGAGTCAACTTCACCTGACTTGTGAGGAGAAAGGAAACTGATGTTGGTATCTCCCTGTAGCTCCAACTGTCCTGGAACTCACTATGTAGACCAGGCTGGCCTCAAACTCACAAAGATCCGACTGCCTCTGCCTCCCCAGTGCTGGGATTAAAGGCGTGCACCACTACGTCCGGCTTGCATCACTTTTAAATAGCACAGTTTCCAATGCAACCACAGACATTCCACCCCTTGATAACACTGTTCTGGCCAACTTGCTCACATGCAGTGCTAAAAACAAAACTTAGGTCCCATCCAGACATCAAATTCACTTAAACCTCTACCTTCATTCAATCTTCTCTGGTTCCAACCTTCCCTGTTCAGTTCAGACCCAAGGACCAAATATCACTTTTTTTTTTTTTTTTTTGTCTTTTTGAAGCAGGGTCTCCCTGTAGTCCCAGCTGTCCTAGAACTCACTATGTAGACCAGGCTGGCCTTGAACTCACAGAGATCCACCTGCCTTTGCCTCCCAAGTGCTAGGGCTATATGAGTGTGCCACCACGCCCGGCCAAAATCACTTTTTACAAATACTTCAAGTCTCTTGTTCTTTTTTCTTTCCATTGCACTTCCCTTACAAAGCCTCAACCGTGGACTTCCTTGGTCCTCTTCTCACACCCTTAACTTCTTATGACAAAGCTAACATACCTACATCATTGGAGTGAATGTCCCATGCTCCATCAAAGGCCATCCCCTCCATCCATGACCGGGATTCCATCCCCTCTGTCTTTTCAGGTCCTTGTTCCTTAAATTAACATATATGTTGCATGTGTACAATGCTCAGTGGCAACACTGTGCATTGAGGCACAACAACTAGAAACATTTCAAGCATTCATCAGTGAGAGGATGTGAAATAAATTTTATTTATTTATTTATTTATTTAATTTATTTATTATTTTTCTTTTTGGTCTTTTTGAGACAGGGTCTCCCCGTAGCCCCAGCTGGCCTGGATTCGCTATGGAGACCAGGCTGGCTTCAAACTCACAGAGATCCGCCTGCCTCCGCCTCCCGAGTGCTGGGATTAAAGGCGTGCACCACCACGTCCGGCTTATTTATTTATTTTTATTTTCTGTGTATGAGTTTTGCTTGCGTGTATTTGAGTGAGGTTGTGTATGCAATACCTGGGGAGGCCAGAGGAGGGTGCTGGATCCCCTGGAACTGGAGTCAAGGATGGTCGTTTAGTAGCCACGTGGGTGCTGGGAACTGAATCTGCATCCTCTGGAAGAGCAGCCAGTGCTCTTAACTGCTGAGCCATCTCTCCAGCACCTGTTTTTTTTTTTTTTTTTTTTTTTGAGACAGGGTCTCACTACATAACCCTGACTGGTCTGGAACTCACTATCTAGACTGGGCTGGCCTTGAACTCATAGAGATCAGTCTGCCTCTGCCTTCCAAATGCTGGGATTAAAGGTATGTGCTACACATCAGGCTTAAGTTGTTTTTTAAAACATTAAAATTAAAATTTAAAGGAATTTTACTGACATGTTCTATAGGAAAGCTATCTTTTGTACCTTTGGTGAAATTGATAAAGATAATATATTCCTAAGTCAGTAAAAAGTGCTTGCCACACAAGCATGAAGATCTGAGTCTGATCCCTGGGTCTTGCTGGCCAGCTACTTTTGACAAAATGGTGAGCTCCAGGTTTAATGAGGGACTGTCTCAAAAATAAGGTAGAGAGGAAGATACTTTACATTGACCTCTGGCCTACACGCACATGCACACATGCACATATATATGAACACACACACCATACACACACATACTGCACATGCACACCATACAGAGAAAATATATTCCTAGTATTTTGCATATATGAAAAAGAGACAATCTTTGATAATATCAATGATATTATCAATGACTGTGATAATTTATTCATGAGTCCAATTACTCAACAAAATCTTTACATTTTCTAAAAGGGTAAAACATCCTAAAAATTACATTCATGATGATAGATGACAATTATTAAGTACTGTCTATAATCTTTATGACACTAGGAAGTACTATTATTAATACTATACTGACAGGACTGAAGCACAAAGGTCACCAATCAGTATATGATGGAATTGAAATGCAAACTCAGAACATGTGTTTTCTTTTTCGTTTGAGTTTTGTTTGGGAGGAAGATATAAATTTTTAATTCCTTTTTTTTTTTTTTTTTTTTTTTTTTTTTTTGTCTTTTTTTGAGACAGGGCCTCTCTGTAGCCCCAGCTGGCCTGGAACTCACTATGTAGACCAAGCTGTCCCCAAACTCTGAGATCCACCTGCCTCTGCCTCCCAAGTGGTGGGATCCACTTGCTTCTGCCTCCCGAGTGGTGGGATTAAAGGCATGAGCCAGCATACCCAGCATCTTATTCTTTTCAAATGAATGATCTACTCTTCTTCAATTTTCATTTTTTTGGTCTTTTTGAGACAGGGTTTCTCTATAATCCCCAGCTGGCCTGGAACTCACCATGTAGACCAGGTTGGCCTCAATCTCACAGAGATCCACTGGCCTCTGCCTCTCAAGTGAAGGGATTAAAAGCGTGCATCACCATGCTCAGCTTCATGATACTTTTTTTTTTTTTAATGTGTATGCGTATATTGCCTGCATGTAGGTAAGGGTACCGGTGTCATGCAATGCCTGCAGAGGTCAGAAGAGGCTGTCAGTCCCCTGGGACTGGAGTTACTAACAGTTGTTAGCTGCCATGTGGGTGCTGGAATTCAAACCCGGGTCTTCTGCAAGAACAGCCAGTGTTCTTAACTGCTGAGTCATCTCTCCAGTCCCCAAGATACCTTTAAAAAAAAAACAAAAACAAAAACATTCATGGGGCTGGAGAGATGGCTCAGTGGTTAAGAGCACTGACTGCTCTTGGTGAGGACCCGGGTTCGATTCCCAGCATCCACATGGTGGCTACGAACCATCCTTAACTCCAGTTCCAGGGAAATCCGAAGCCCTCTTCTGACTTCCATGGCATTGCACGACACGGGTGTACTCACATACATGTAACCAATACACTCATATACATGAAATGAAAATAATATTAAAAAATTTACTTTTATGTGTATGAGAGTTTTGCCTGCATTATATGTTAGTGCCCCTATGTCATGCAATACCCGTGGACGCCAGAAGAGGGCGATGGATCCCTTGGAACTGGAGTTGTGGCTGGTTGTGAGTGGCCATGTGGGTGCTGGGAACCAAACCCAGGTCCTTTGCAACAACAGTCTTTTTTTGTGTGTCTACCCTCTAACTCTGCCATCTTTTTTTTTCTCAGATCCTTGTTGTTCAATAAAATTCCCTTTCAAGACATTCTGTTTCTGTTATTAATTCTGAAGATGCAGGCATTTTTTCAGCCAGTACTGCCTGTCATTACTCTTTTTACTCAATCTACAGTCGGTATGTTTTCTTTCTTTTCCTGCCTTCTTTTTTAAATAATATTTTTATTTATTTATTTTATGTGTAAGTGCATCAGGTGGGTGCAATACCCACATAGGCCAGCAGAGGGCCTCAGAGTCTCTGGAACTGGTGTTAAGGACTGTTGTTAGCCACCATATGGGTGTTGGGAATTGAGCAGCTAGTACTCAACTAACCCTGAGTTTGAGTCTCACTGTGTAAATTACACCGGTCTGGAACTTGTGGCGTTCCTCCTGTCTCAGCCTACAGAGTGCTGGGATTCCAGGCGTGCGTTAACATGCCCAGCTTCTGCAGCTCAGTTACCTACCACCATGGATGAAGTGCCTAGAAAGTAAGAACCCTAGCCGAGTATGGTGGCACCTGCCTTTAATCCCAGCATTCGTGAGGCAGAGGCAGGTCTACATAGTGAGTTCCAGGCCAGCTGGGGCTACAGGGAGACCCTGTCTCAAAAAGACAAAAAGACACCCCCCCCCCAAAAAAAAAGACCAAAAATAGAAAGAACCCTAAGCTTTACACAAGGCAGGGCGGAGAGAAGGGCGGGGCCGGCCGCGGGCGTGCGTGGGGGCCCTAAGGAGCCGGTTCCTAGCCCCGCCCACAGACCCGTCCCGGCCTCCCGCTCAAGCACTCTGGACTCTTCTCGCGGTGGAATTCCTGAGTCTCGCGAGAAGCCCCGCTCGCGCGCCAGCCCGAGCCGGCGGCGGCTGTGGTCTGAATGAGGTGAGGCGCAGAGTGGCGGGCTCAGGAGGCAGAGGGTGTGTTGGGGGAGGCCGGGGGCGGCGGAGGGTGAGCACCGGGTACCGGGCTCCCTGCATCTGCGGGTGGCGTCCTCACCTCCGGCACCCGCGCTGGGGCGACGGACTGCACTTCCCCAGCGCGTGCACAGGGCCTTCTAGTGCGCAAGGAGTCCTGAGAAAGTGGAACGAACGCGTCATGAAGGAAGGAAGGAGTGTGTGAGTGAAGGAATGAAGTTAGACGTCGGAGGATGAGAAGTTAGAAGCGGGAAGAGACCTCCTAGTGGGGGCAGAGTCAGCATGGTAGAACTGCCTTAGGTGCACGCTGGGAATTGTGGACTGGATTGAATTTGTTGTCCATAGTCCTCCGGGAGTTTAAGGATAGAAGGGGAAATTAAGTTGCATCAGTGTCTAAAAAGATGGTCATGTCATCATTGTCAGGGAGTGAAAGTATACTGAAAAACCAGTTTCCTGGTAACCTGCACCTCATGCTTGAGTAGTTCTCTGCTACAGCTACTGTATTTTTTTTCTTGATGATTTTCTATTTTTACGTAGAACAGATACATTTAAAACTTCATTTATTAAACCATCATATATTCAATAATCATATGTGTACACATATGTAACTATCTCCTTGACAAATGGTAAGCATAAATATGTAGAGGTTATATAGCTATTTACATGTACATATATATGAACTAAGAAAGTACTATTGGGGCTGGAGAGATGGCTCAGCAGTTAAGAGCACTGACTACTCTTGCAAAGGACCTGGGTTCAATTCTCAGCACCCACATGGTGGCTATGTCCTTAGCTCCAGTTCCAGGGGACTCTGAAGCCTATTCTGACCTCAGTGGCATTGCATGACATGGGTGCACTCACATACATGCAGGCAGTACACTCATACATATAAAATGAAAGACAACTATTATAGAAGTATACAGTTTCACATTTACCTGTAATGCAGTATTAGAGCCTACAAAAATTAGTCTTGAGACAGGGCCTCCCTGTAGACCCAGCTGTTCTGGAACTCGCTTTGTAAACCAGGCTGTCCTTGAACTCACAGAGATCCGCCTGCCTCTGCCTCCTGAGTGCTGGGATTAAAGGCGTGTGCTACCACGCCGGGCTAGGAAATTTTGATTTTTGATTTTTTAAATTTTTTTTGTATTTATGTGTATGCATGTATTGCCTGCATGTAGGTAAGTGCACCTGTGTCATGCAATGGTTGTGAAGGTCAGAAGAGGCTGATCCCCTGGGACTGGAGTTATGGACAGTTGTTAGCTGCCATGTGGTTGTTGGGATTTGAACCTGGGTCTTCTGCAAAAACAACCAGTGTTCTTAACCACTGAGCCATCTCTCCAGCCTGGAAAACAGGAAATTTTAGCCTCTAGAACACAAGTAACTTCTGAGAAAATGAGTAATACCAGTTGGTACAATCTTTTCAGTTCTATCATTAGGAAAGCCTGAGTCAGAATACTAGGAAAGACACTAAGAATACTCAGGTAATACCATAAAATTTTACTACTGCTACACAGTAATTCTGTGTGCCTGGCAAGCATCAGGTAGATGGGCATGCTCCAAGAGGAAGTAAGTGGCCAAGAGTCATCCCATGTTCTATCACATAACCACTCAGTCTCAATTTTGTTCAGGTGTAATGTTTTAAAACTATTCTAGATGATCTCTCATCATCCCTTCTATTCTGTTCCCACTAATTTAAAAAAAATAGTAGTTCTTGGGGCTGCAGAGAGAGCTCAGCGGTTAAGAACACTGACTGTTCCTGCAGAAGACCGGGGTTCAAATTCCAGCACCCACATGGCAGCTAACAACAGTCTGTAACTCAAGTTCCAGGGGATCTGACAATCTCTTTTTGTCCTTCTCCAGCACTGCACGACATGGGTGCACTTACCTACATGCAGGCAGTACACGCATACACATAAAATAAAAATAATAAATAGTTCTTATTGGAAAATTCATACATTTACACAGCAGTATTAAAAAGTTGAGATTCTTTATTTTCCACTGTCTTTTGAGCTATAAATTTTAACATTTTCAGTTTAAATAATCATAAGTAAACATTTTCTACCCCTACCCCTTTCCTTGAGCAAAGAAAATATTTGTGTATGCTCTTTAAAAGTAGGTCTCCTTTTGCCTTAAAAAAGAATTCTGGATGACTATTTCATGACATCAAACAAGAGTAACATCTAGAAGACCAAAAATAGGAAGAAAAGGAAGGAGGGAGGGAGGAAAAGAACCACATCTTTTCTCTTACTGTTTAGTCTGTTTATTCAGTATCAGAAGTTACTCCAGACCCCTAGTTTTTTTTTTTTTTTAATAACTTTTATTTTTATGTGTATGACTGTATTGCCTGCATGTGTGAGTGCACCCATGTCATGCATTGCCGAGGAGGTCAGAAGAGGGCTTCGGATTCGAAGCGGCCATGTGGGTGCTGGGAATTGAATGCCGGTCCTCTCCAAGAGCAGTCAGTACTCTTAACTGCTGAGACCGCTGAGCCTACTCTCCATCCCCGGAGTGGTTTTTTTTTTTTACATCCTCCCCCAGATTTTCAGGGGCCAGCTAGCGCTCACTGGTCACCACCAGAACCCAGATACTTTCCAAGGTATGGGTCCCTCTCAGGGGGAACCCATTCCAGGGTGTCCTGCCCTTCACAAAGAAAAAAACAACTCTCTCCAGGGCTCCCACCGGCTTCCCTGGGATTGTTTGCATCATCACACTGGAACTTTAGTTTTGTAGTTGTCACTACTGACTCAGCTGCTATAGCTTTAATTTATATGGATTAATTAAAAAATATATAAATGAGAGAGTGAAAGGGAAAACCACTGAAGTAGCAGCTGTTACAAATAGCTGTAAAAGAGAAAACATTACAGAGAAAAGCCCTTTAAAATGTCCAGAGAAATACATCTGAGAGACAATAAAGGTTTTTTCTTTCTTTTTATGTAGAAGCACTAGATTTCATCTATAAATCCACTTTTTGGCTTGGATCAGTATGGGGGTTTCATTATAAACCCAATGATTTAGGGATGTTAGCCAATCATATCATATCATATCTTGTTTTATTTTTTGTTGTTACAGTGGTGTTTTTGTTTTGTTTTCTGTGCTCAAAAAGCCACAGACTTACTGAATGTGATGGTGCACACCTTTAATCCCAGCATTTGGGAGGCAGAGGCAGGTGGATCTCTGCGTTCCAGACCATCGTGGTCTACATAGTGAGTTCCAGGCCAGCTGAAACTACAGGGAGACCCTGTCACCAAAACGAAACAAAAAAAAGCTACAGACTCAGCCCAAGGAGGGTGCTGCAGCTCAGTACGTAGTTGCACAGGCAGAACTATGCAAAGCTTTGAACAGAACCTTCCTGAACAGTGTATAGCTCCAGCCAGTGCTGTTAAATCTTCACATTTGGACTAGGAAATTCGGCCCCAATTACTTTCAAAATAGGATAAACTCAGAATCAAGAGAATGTGATATTAAGAGTAAAGCCAGATCTCCAGAGCCAATAGTGATAACCTCTACTGGTCCAAATTTGTAAAGGGAAATTCTGGAAGTTTTTCTTATGCATTTGGTTGGCCTCCCTCAATTCTGAACACAGCTGAGAGGCAGATTCCAAGTCACTGAGTTGATGCATATACATTGAGTTTTGGTTTCTTGTTTACTCTTTGATTTAGTGTTTGTAAATCTTGGGACTGATCAGAGTATTTCTCCAGAACACTTTCAGTGTGCTCTTTTCCAGGGTAAGGGATGACTTTTCTATGAGAATCAAGTTGTACTTCATATTTAGGGAAAAAGGGAATTTGCATCAAAGTCCCAGTTGAAGATGTGTTTTTAATTATTGTACCACGGATAGATGGCACAAAAAATGGGCTTGAAGAACCTCCATTAAATGTAATGCTACTTGATAAAAGATCTTCATAGTCTGAATCACAAGCTTTTGAGTCATATTATTTCCTACCTCTTAGAAATCTTAAACTATGAGTGCTTCCCTGTTTGAACTGTTTAGTTTTTGTCTGCTACCAACACCTCGTCCCTAAGAGACTGGTTTCATGACCACTGGGGCAGGCTGCATCTGCGTGACCCGGGTATGGCCCAGCTCCCCAGGCCTGGACCAGCGCTGCGGCTACCCCTCCACCCCACACCAAGCATCCTCACGCAGCTTGCTCCCACCACCACCCACCAGCTACTGTAGTTTTATGCCCTATAGTCAAACTCAAGAGTTAGGAATCCCACCTTAGGACTTAATTAGAATGGAACTGAATGTACACACTAGAGTTTTGGAGGGGTGGGAGGGTGGTATTGGAGCTAGAACTAGGGCATGCAGTCTACCATAGAACTACAACTCCCAACCCTATACTGTGTGACTTTCCCAGTTAAAAAAGAAAAACCACTGTTCATATAGCTTACTCAAAGATTTAGTGGTTTATAATCCCGAGTGGTACTTTGTTTTTATATATTTATGGCCATATTCACAATTGGCTCTGGCCAGATTGCTCGATGGGTAAAGCACTTGCTATGCAAGCCTTACAACCAGAGTTTGATCCCCAGATCCCATGTAAAGGTGAAAGGAAAGAACTCACTCCACACGGGATGTCCTCTAACTTCTACACTCAGCCCCCTGCCCCCAATAAAAATAAAGTTTAAAAAATTAGAGTGGGAGACATTTTAGAGATGCTCTGATTCCAAAATCTTTACTTTTGGAGAAACTTTGGAAATTATTTTTTTGTTTCGTTTTGAGACAGGCTCTCCTGTAGCCCCAGCTGCCTTGGAACTTGATATGTAGATCAGGCTGGCCTTGATCTCACAGAGATCCACCTGCCTTTGCTTCCCAAGTGCTGGGAGGCGAGAGGATCAGGAGTTGGAAGCCAGCTTGGGCTATATGAAACCCTATCCAAAAAACAAAAGTGGGACTAGAGAGATGGCTCAGCAGTTGAATGCTTATTAGCTCTTGGAGAGGACCCAGGTTTGGTTCCTAGCACCTACATCAGGCAGCTTACAATCACCTGTAACTCCAGTTCCAGGGGATCCGATGCCCTCTGGCCTCTGAGGGAACCTTAATATGCATGGTGCATGTAAACTTATGCAGGTACACATATAGACAGAAAAATAGATATATTTTTTATTTAAATTTATTTATTTTTAAAGATTTTTGGTCTTTTTGAGATAGGGTCTCCCAGTAGCCCCAGCTGGCCTGGAACTCAGTAGACCAAGCTGGCCCCGAACTCACAGAGATTGCCTGCCTCTCTGCCTCCTGAGTGCTGGGATTAAAGGCATGTGCCACCATGCCCGGCTTTTTTGTTTTTTTAAAGCATTAAAAAAATTCTTTTTTGTTTATGTTTTTCTTTTTGGTCTTTTTGAGACAGGGTCTCCCTGTAGCCTCAGCTGTCCTGGTACTCATTGTGTAGATCAGGCTGGCCTTGAACTCACAGGTCCACCTGCTTCTGCATCCTGAGTGCTGAGATTAAATGCATGTACCACAACGCCTGGCAAAAAAATTTTTTTATGTGTATGGGTGTTATGCCTACATGCAAGTAAGTGTACCTGTGTCATGCAGTACCCTCGGAGGACAGAAGAGGGCATCAGATTCCTTGGAACTGAAGTTTTGGATGGTTATTAGCTGCCATGTGGGTGCTGGGATTGGAACCCAGGTCTTCTGTAAGAACAGCCTGTCTTAACTGGTGAGTCATCTCTTTAGCCCCGTATTTTTTGGTTTTTGAGACAGGGTCTTCTTGTAACCCCAGTGGATGGGCTTGGAATGTAGACCAGGGTGGCCTTGTGCTACCATGTCTGCCTCTTTTTTAGAACTTGGTCTTACTATGTAGCACTGGCTGTCCTGGAACTGGCTATGTAGGCTAGGCCAGTCCAGAACTCAGAAATCCACCTGCCTCTGCCTCTCAAGTGCTAGGATCAAAGGTGTATGCCACCATACCTAACTAAAATAAATCTTAACCACTACCATCCCACCCCAAATCCAAGTTTTTGAAATAGCTCTTTAAAGGAGCTTAACAAAAATCATAGAGTGATATGGAGCGAGACTGGGAAGTATGAGTTTTTTGCATTTTATTTTAAAAATTAAAAAAAAAATTTTGTGTATGAGTGTTTTACCTGAATTATGTAAGTGCACCTGTGCTGTGCAGTGCTTGAGGAAGTCAGAAGAAGACCTCAGATCCCCCGGAAGAATGAGTTACAGGTCATTAGCTGTCATGTGGGTGCTGGGAACTGAATCCAGGTCCTGCAAGAGCAGCCAGTGCTCTTAACTGCTGAGTCATCTCTCTAGCTCCTCTGTTTTTTTTTGAGGTAGGGTCTCCCTGCAGTTCCAGCTGGCCTGGAATTTGCAATGTAAACCAGGTTGGCCTCCATCTTACAGAAATCTACCTGCCTTTGGAACGCTGGGAGTAAAGTCCATGCCCCCATGCTCAGCAAGCTCATTACTTTTTTGAAAGTCTCATGTAACCCAGGCTCAGGGCAGCCTTGAACTTGTGTAGTCAAGGCTGGCTTGAACTCCTGATTGTCAGGTTTTCAAGTGTTGGGAGTATAGGTGCTACCATGTCTGCCAACAATTATACCAAGATCTGTGTATTTTTTGTTTTCCCATTGAAATTCTTTAGTTTTAGCATGATCAGCATTATATTGTTAAAGGTTTAGTCTAGCTGTAATAAGGAGAATTGATTGAAGGAGGCAAAAGTGAGTGGATATAATGGTGTGATTGAAACGAGGAATATCGGGAAGTGGTTAAAGAGATTAGAACTAGATCAGAGAGCATTTTGGAAGTAAAAGGATCAGGTTATATCCAGTAACGGGAGGAAGGAAGGGTCAAAGATGACTTGTTCTAACTTGAATAGCTGGATAGATGTCACTCATTGAATTGAGAACATGAAGTTTAGTTTTTTTTTTTTTGTTTTTTTTTTCTGTCTTTTTGAGACAGCATCTCCCTGTAGCCCCAGCTGTCCTGGAACTCACTGTGTAGACCAGGCTGGACTTGAACTCACAGAGATCTGCCTGCCTCTGCCTCCTGAGTGCTGGGATTAAAGGCCATAGAAGTTCAGTTTTATATATGAGTTAATAAGTGCCCTTGAGATATTTGAAAGCTGCGAAATGGACTGTAGGGATCTAGGCCCCAAGTGTTGGCCTAGAGTGGAGATTAAAAATTCTTAGCTTCAGGCTGGGTGTGGTGGTGCACTCGGGAGGCCTCAGAGGCAAGTGGATCTCTGAGTTCAAGGCCAGCCTGGACTACATAGTGAGTTCCAGGCCAGCTGGGGTTACAGGGAGACCTTGTCTCAGACAGAAAAAAAAAAAAAATCTTAACTTCAGCGTGTGTGAAAGCTGTGAACATAAAAGAATTTACAGGGCCTAGGATGGCATCTTGGGTACTTAATATTAATAGCCAGGTTAGAAGAGGTGCACTTGCATAGAAGATCCAAAAGTGTCCAGAAAGGGGGTAAAAACAAGGTTACTGCTGTGTTTCAGATAGCAAAGAAAACATTCTCTAAAGAAAGGGATTAACCGAAAATGTCAAAAAGTGAGATGGTACTGAACATTTTTTCGAGTTGTAAGCTTGAGGATACGGTTTTCATTCCTTTTAAAAAATTTTTAATTTGAATCGGCTAGGTATGGTGGCATATGCATTTAGACCTAGCACTCAGGAGGCTGAGGCAGGCGGATCTCTGAGTTCAAGGCCAGCCTGGTCTACATAGTAAGTTCCAGGCCAGCTGGAACTACAGGGAGACCCTGTCTCAAAAAAAAAAAAAAAATTAATTTGAATTAAAAAATATTCCTTTTGAGACATGTTCTCATCTGTAGCCTGGGATCACTTCAAATTGATGCTCTTCCTGCCTCACCCTCCCTGGTCCTGGGATTACAGTTGTGAGCTACCATTCCTGGCACAATTTCCATTCTTCAAAGGAAATCTTATGCAAAGAAACCAACATGTAAACAATTTTTTTTAAAACCTACTCTAAGCTGGGCGTGGTGACACACACCTTTGATTCTGGCACTCAGGAGACAGAGGCAAGCAGGTCTCTGTGAGCTCAAGGCTAGACTGGTCTACATAGTGAGTTCTAGACTAGCTGGGGTGTAGGGAGACCCTATATCAAAAAGACAATAAAAAACTACTTTAGGTCTGGGATGTAGCTAAGTGATAAAGCATTGCCTTGATGAGCAAGGCCTTGAGTTGGAACCCTAGCAATTTGAAAATAAGCAAACTGCTTATCGTTTCCTATTTCACATCCTTTTGTCTCTTTGAAACCCTCTGAAAATCAGGTTACTCTCTTATGATAGGGAAAATTAAGATAAAATAATTATTTAGTTATACCCTGTGTGGTGGCACACGCCTTTAATCCCAGCACTTGGGAGGAAGAGGCAGGCCAATCTCTGAGAGTTCAAGGCCAACCTGGTCTACCTAGTGAGCTGGGGCTATAAGGAGACCCTGTCTAAAAAAAAAAAAAAAATTCATAGTTATTTAGTGGTAGGGTGCTCAGTACAGCTCAGTTCTGATTACTCCTTTTCCTCTAAAATTATTTTCTCTATTTTTTATGCTATAAGAGTTTGAAGTTTTGTTTAAGTGATTGAAACAAAAGACTTTTGCTGCAGATGGAACTAGATTGTGTAATAGAAAGGCTAGTTTGGATGGATAAAGATAACTTTTTCTCCTAGAGAAGATGGTAGAACCAGAAGAGAATGGCTTGGTTGAACTACCAGATTATGAACATGTGGAAGATGAAACCTTTCCTCCTTTCCCACCTCCAGCCTCACCAGAGAGAGAAGGTGCAGAAGCTGGACCTGATGAAGGTCTGTATTGAGAATATCACAAAAGTGTACTTTTGATTTGTTGCTACTGTTATTGTTTATTTGGTTTTTGAGACAAGATCTTACTGTGGGTCCTGGGCTAGCCTTGAGCTCACAATCCTGCTTTAGCTCCTGAGTGCTGGCATGTGCTAGAAATGTCCTGTGAAATATCTCATGTTTTAGTTATCTGTTAGGTCAGCTTGGAAATGATATATTTGGGGCTGGAGAGATGGCTTAGCAGTTAAGAGCACTGGCTGCTCTTGCAGAGGACCTGGATATTTGATTTCCAGCACCCATAGGGTGGCTAACAACCATCTGTAGCTCCAGCTCCTGGGGAATCCTACACCCTTTTCCTGACCTCTGAGAGCACTGCATGACACGAGTGCACTTACACACATTGCATTCATACACATAAAATAAAAATTGTAGATAACATTTTTTTTTTGAGACAGGGTCTCCCTTGTAGCCCCAGCTGTCCTGGAACTCACTATGTAGACCAGGTGGCCTCGAACTCACAGAGATCCACCTGCCTCTGCCTCCCAAGTGCTAGGTATAGAGGCCACCATGCCCGGCATGATAAAATATTTAAAAAAAAAAGAAATGATACATTTATTTGTATGTGGGCCTGCATGTGCCACTGCATGCACGTGGAGGTCAGAAGACAACTTACGGGAGTTGGCTCTCTCCTTCCATCATGGAGTTACAGGGGATCAAACTTAGGTAGTTAGGTGTGCTGGATAGCTTTGGTGTCAACTTGACATATCTGGGTTGAGGGAGCCTCAATTAGGGAACTGCTTTCATTGGACTGGCCTGTGGCCATGTCCGTGGGGCACTTTCTTGATTGTTGAGTGATGTGGGAGAACCCAGCCCACAGTGGGTGGTGCCACCCGTGGGCAGGTGGGCCTGTGTTGCATAAGAAAGCAGGTTGAGCATGGGCCGGGGAGCAAGCCAGTAAGAAGTGTTCCTCCATGGCCTGTGCTCCAGCTCCTGCCTCCAGGTTCCTGCCCTGAATTCCTACCTTGGGCTCCCTGATGAACTGTGACCTGGGCGATGTAAGCTGAATAAACCCTTTCCTCCCCAAGTTGGTATTGGTCAGAGTATTTTGTCACAGCAATGAAGAAACAAACCTAGGACATTAGGTTTGGTGGCAGGCACCTTAAACCTGCTGAGTCATCTCTATGGCCCAAGGCTTAAATTTTTTATACTTAATCTTGGTCTATTTCACTAGAGTCAGGGAGTAGTGCACCTGTTCCTGTACCTCCAAAGAGAATAGTTAAAAGGAATCTACCCAAGCTGGATGCTCATAGGTATGTACATTTACTCTCCTTGTATACTTAAAATTTTTCCTTCTAGCTATGGCTTTTCTTCTAATGTTAGAAACTTTGGTTGGGATGATTTGGAGATCAGATAGTTCTGTAAACTTTTTTTTTCCTAGTTTAGAAGAAAATTTTTTTGGTTTTGACATAGCTAGAAAACCTGAATTTAAAATATGTTTCTCTTCACAGGTTAGTTTCAGAGAGAGGGCTTCCAGCATTAAGGCATGTGTTTGATAAGATAAAATTCAAAGGTAAAGGTCATGAGGTAAGAAATGTCTGATTTTTATTTCTTTGTTTTACAGTATTGGGGATTGAACCAGGGCAAGTGCTAGGACACATCCTGGGATTTCTTTTAGAATATGAGTAAAACTGTAGGTGCACTATCGTGTTCTGAGGAATTTCTGAATATATCGGAGATACTATGATAATTATTGTATCTCTTGAGAAATAGCTGCAGTGTAGTAGAAAGGGTACTGTTGGAAGAGTTAGAAGAATGCTTGTATTGTTCATGTTTGTCTCCAGGTACAGTACCTGGTTCTTTTATGTTTTTGTAGACCGTAAACTCCTGACCTCAATCTTTACCTTCCAGGTGTGCCCCACTATTCTTTTTTTTTTTTTTTCCCAGACAAGGTCTCCCTGTAGCCCCAGCTAGCCTGGAACTCTCTGTGTAGACCAGGCTGACCTGGATCCTACTGTGATCCGCCTGCCTTTGTCTCCTAAGTGCTCGGATTAAAGGTGTGTGCTACCATTACCAACCCAGATGTATGTCCTTAAGTCATAGAAGTCTGTAGATAGAATATTTGGCATATGGTGATAATCTTTTTTTATAGAGCTTTACAGTTAAAAGTATTTCAGGTACCAGGGAGATAGTTCAGTGGGTAAAGGTGCTCACTGACAAACCTGAGTTTGAGCCCTAAAACCCACATGGTGGAAGGAGAGAACTGACTTCCACAAGTTGTCCCCTGATCTCCACATGCATTCTGCGGCATGTGCAAGTACATAAATAAACAAACAAACAAATAAATAAACAAATAAATAAATAAATAAATAAGAAAATAAATAAATAAATAAATAAATGCATTTCAGATATGCTTTAAATTTTTACCCTCTTGGATTGTTGTGCCCAGTTTGCAAGACTCCAAAGACTACCAAGGAGCCGACTGATGCAAATACACAAGGGTTTTTTGTTGTTACAAGCTTAAGCTTGGGCCCACTCTGTCACCGACCTAGCGGATCTCAGATGTGAGACCCCTTGCTTTGGGAGACAGGTTTTTATAGGTTTATTTCAGCAAGTAGGGGAGTAGGGGGTCTGCAGCCTGGCAAGCATCTGATTGGTTGCAGCCCAGTGCCAAACCATAAACTGCTGGCTTCAGGAAATCTGAAAAGACATCTGGACTTTTAGTACTTTCCTGTCCCTGGTTAATTGACACTGGGGGCCGGGGGGAGTTGTTCTCTGTCCGTTCCAAGTATACTTTTTATTTGTGTGTGTGGTTTCTCCTGGAACAGGATTCAGGGCTGGGTCAGTCCCATGGAGGTTTTATCCAAGATGGAGTCACTCAGGTCTCTCAAGATAGCTGTTTGTCTTGTCATCTAGCTGAAGAAACTGGGCTTTAGAATGCTAATAAGGAAAGCTAAGCCTAGATTTCCTCTTTTTTTTTTTTTTAAATCTTTTTGAGACAGCATCTCTCTTTAGCCCCAGCTAGCCTGGAACTTCCTATGTAGACCAGGCTGGCCTTGATCTCAGAGAGATCCACCTGCCTCTGCCTCTCAAGTGCTTGGATTGAAGGAGTGCCACCATGCTCAACTGAATCCAGGAATTTTTAAATTTATGTATTAATCAAGTTTATTCAACTTTATTTTTCATTTAAAGGAAACTCCTAACTAGGATTTTAAATGTAGAGCGTAATTGTGGTTTGAGAATTTTTAAGCTGTTCTTGCTAGTCTGTATTTTGCCCTTGGGGTTTCTGAATATATTCTTGAGAGTTTTGAATTCTCAATGCTTTGTTCTCTATATTTGATTTAGGAATCTATTGAGAGTGTTCAGTTATTCCTGAAAGATATCTCAACATAATTTACTAAAGCTTATTTGGGGGTTTTACTTCACAGTTTTGAAAAGACACACGTAAGATTTTTTTTTTTTTTTTTTTTAAAGTCTTTGAGACAGGATCTCCTTGTAGAGACAGGATCTCCTTGTAGCCCCAGCTGTCCTGGAACTCACTATGTAGACCAGGCTGGCCTCGAACTCACAGAGATCTGCCTGCCTCTGCTTCCCGAGTGCTGGGATTAAAGGCATGCGCCACCATGCCTGGCAAGATTGTTTTTTAACTTGATACTCAGTTTTAGTACTTTTTTTTCCTGGTGTTTGTGTGGGGGGTGTGCATGTCAGGGGGGTCAAGTGTGGTTCCTCAGGTACTATCCACTGAGTCCCAGGGATCAGCCTGTCTGCTTCTTCTCCAACACTTGCATTTCAGAAGTATACTACCAGCTGGGCGTGGTGGCGAACACCTTTAATCCCAGCACTCGGGAGGCAGAGGCAGGCGGATCTCTGTGAGTTCAAGGCCAGCCTGGTCTACATAGTGAGTTCCAGGATAGCTGGGGCTACAGGGTGACCCTGTCTCAAAAAGACAAAAAAAAAAAAAGAAAAAGTGTACTACCATGTCCGACTTTTTTATATGGGTTCTAGGGATTGGACTGAGGTCTTCATGCTTGTTCCACAAGCATTTAAATGGTTGAGCTATTTCTCCAGCTTGGATGGTATTTTTTCCTCTAATTTTTAAAAGTTTGTATCCAAAACAAATCCGTATCTAAAGCTCTTAGATTATAATCCTCTAAGCCATTAGATTTTTCTGTTTCCTTCTGAAAGTTTCTCAGCCTTATAGATATGACACCAGTGACTTTGGCATTACCTTTAAATTCTAAAATCTGCTGACAGGTCAGTTGTGAGATTGAGTCTTTTGTTCAGCATTTTTATTTTTATGTGTCAGGCTGAAGACTTGAAGACACTAATCAGACACATGGAGCACTGGGCACATAGACTATTCCCCAAACTGCAATTTGAAGATTTTATTGACAGAGTTGAATACCTAGGAAATAAAAAGGAGGTTCAGGTAAGTGTTGTGATTATCTTGAATGTCATTTGCAATGCTAAATAGTACATGGATGAGTTTAGCTGAGGCTAAATTGCTATTTGGGGGTCAGTCTTTTGAAATCTGTCTTGGTAGACAGAAAGGTTAGTTGTCATTGTTTGAAAAACAGCTCTTTCATACATGAATACGTGGTTATTCCCTAGTATTGATAAGACTACAAAAATCTTTTTATTTTCAGACCTGTTTAAAACGAATTCGACTTGATCTCCCTATTTTACATGAAGATTTTGTTAGCAATGATGGTAATTATACAAGTTTATTTACTTTATCACAATTTAGCTTAAAAAATATTTTAAAAATTTATTTATTTATTGGTCTTTTTGAGACAGGGTCTCCCTGTAGCCCCCACCTGTCCTGGAACTCACTATGTAGACCAGACTGGCCTTGAACTCATAGAGATCTGCCTGCCTCTGCCTCCTGAGTGCTGGGATCAAAGGCATGTGTCACCATTCCTGGCAAAAATTTATTTATTTATTTATTTTGAATAAATTAACTTTAAAAAAAGATTATTATTTTTATTTTATGTGTATGCGTGTATTGCCTGCATGTAGGTAAAGTGCACTGTGTTGTACAATGCCTGCGGAGGTCAGAAGAGGCTGTCAGATCCCCTGGGACTGGACTTACAGTTATTAGCTGCCATGTGGGTGGTGGGATTCGAACCCGGGTCTTCTGCAAGAACAACCAGTGTTCTTAACCACTCTGGGCCATCTCTCCAGCCCCCTAAAATTTATTTTTTATGTGTATGAGTATTTTGCCTGCATGTATGTAAGTGCACTGTGTTGTACAGTGCCCATGGAGTTCCAAAGAGCATGTTGGATCTTTTGGAACTGTAGTTACATACAGTTGTTAGCTGTCATGTGGGTGCTGGGAACCTAACCTGGATCCTCTGCAAAATCAGACAGTGCTCTTCACTGCTGAGTCATCTCTGCAGCCTCATAATTTAGCTTTTGGAGATGGGTCTAGCTGGGGCGTGGGCAGTATTACACAACTGAATTCCTTTTCTTTTTTAACTCAAAGATCTGCCACCCAAGTGCAGGGATTAAAGGCTTGTGCCACCATGCCTGGCTGTAATTAATTCATTAAAGAAATTTTATGTGTATAAGCATATGCCCTATGTGTATATAAGTGCAGGGAATCGAACCCGGGTCCTCTGCAAGAGCAGTCAGTGCTCTTAACCTCTGAGCCATCTTTCCAGCTCCTATAATCCTATTTTCCTCCAGCTCCTATTTTGAAAAAATAAATTACAGGAGCTGGAGAGATGGCTCAGCGGTTAAGAGCACTGACTGCTCTTGCAGAGGACCCGGGTTCGATTCTCAGCACCCACATGGCGGATACGAACCATCCTTAACTCCAGTTCCAGGGGAATCTGAAGCCCTCTTGCTGACCTCTGTGGCATTGCACGACACGGGCGCACTCATATACATGTAGACAGTATGCTCATACATATTAAATAAAAATAATAGGCTGGGCGTGGTGGTGCACACCTTTAATCCCAGCACTCTGGAGGCAGAGGCAGGGGGATCTCTGAGTTCAAGGCAGGCCTGGTCTACATAGTGAGTTCCAGGACAGCTGGGGCTACAGAGAGACCCTGCTTCAAAAAGACCAAAAACTGATAATAATAAATATTAAAAAATAAAATAAAAATAGGATTGTAGGGGCTGGAGTGATGGCTCAGTGGTTAAGAGCACTGGGATACCTGTAATTCCAACATTGGGAGGTAGGAAGCAGGAGACTCAGAAGTTCAAGGTCAGCCATGGCTACATAGTGAGTTTGAGGCCAACTTGGATTATGTGAAACCCTGTTTTAAAAGAAAAAACAAAGCAGGTGTGGTGGCGCATGCTTTTAATCCCAGCATTCAGGAGGCAGAGGTAGGTGGATCTCTGTGAGTTCAAGTCCAGCCTGGTCTACGTAGCAAGCTCCAGGCCAGCTGGGGCTACAGGAAACCCTGTCTCAAAAAGACCAAAAAGAAAAAAAGAAAAAAACCACAAAAAATGCAGATCCTTGGCTATATGACTTCAGGAAGACCTGTGTGACTGTTCCTGGTATTGATTGCATTTGTTAGTTGTACAATGCAACCATAGACAGTCACGCACATCAAAACGTGGTTCCTGCCGACAGAGTCTGTATAGTTAATCAGATTTTCTGTGCGATGGCTCCATACATATTTTTCTTTTGTAATATATGTGGTGAGCAGTATAAGCTCCTTATAAAATCCTCTTATGATTTACATACTCTGGGATTTTAATTTTTATTGAAAGATGGTATACATTAATGGCATAAAATTTGGTATATTTAAAAAGAGTTACTATGTTACTAAATAGCAGAATCTATGCCAGTGAGTTAGTTGATTTATTTAGCAGCACTTTTTGAGCTGTCTACTGTGTGTTGAAGGTTCTGGTTAAAAGATGAATAAAATGGAGGCTCTAAGTTTATAGAGTAGACTTTTTTTTTTTTTTTTTTGGTCTTTTTGAGACAGGGTCTCCCTGTAGCCCCAGCTGTCCTGGAACTCACTATGTAGACCAGGCTGGCCTTGAACTCACAGGGATCCTCCTGCCTCTGCCTCCTGAGTGCTGGGATTAAAGGCATGCGCCACCACGCCCAACAGAGTAGACATTTTTGACGGTGTTATAGACATATGAGTAGGTCACAGGATGAGGTACAAAGGATAGTATTACCTAGGGAAGGAGAAACTTTGTAGAGAAGATATCACAAGTGTTTTTGTTAAGCAGTAGAGGCCAGCCAAAGGTAATTTTAGATAGAGGGATCCACTTGTAGGCACAAATTAACACGCATCATTCAGGGAAATTATAAGCATGTTCAAATAGAGATATATAGAAGGGGTCTAAATCAGAGATTCTTTATTCCTTTGCCCTTTTTTCAAAAAAACCTTTTTTATGTGTATGTTTTGCCTACATGTATGAACATGTAGTCATGTTTCCAGTGCCCACTGAGGCCATAAGAGGGTACTTGGAACTGGAGTTATGAACCGTTGTTAGCTGCCATGTGGGTGCTAGGAACTGAACCCAGGTCTTCTGAAAGAACAGCTACTGTTTTTAATCACTGAGCTATCTGTAGCTTCCTCTTTGCGTCTTTTTCTTTGCTTTCTTGTTTGTAGCAGGAGGGTCTTAGTATTGTTGCACCAGCTGGAACTCACTGTCTTGCCTCAGCTTTCTAAGTGCTAGAATTTCAGGCATGTACTACCATGCCCGGTTGTTCTTGTATGTTAAGAGAATAGTATCCAAACTGTGAAAGTAAAAATGTTTTCTGGGACTGGAGAGATGGCTCAGTGGGTAGAGTGCTTGCTATGCAACCATGAGGATTTTGAGTTAGGCTCCCTAGCATTCATGTAAAAGCCAGGTGTGGTAGCATGTGCCTGTAGTCCCAGGCTGTGCAGGTGGAGACAGCAGGTGGAGACAGTCTGGCTAGGTTGCTCCAGTCAATTGGTGAGCTCCAGGTTCAGTGAGAGACCCTGCCTCAAATAATTAGGTGGGAAGTGATAGAGGAACACATCTGATGTTAATCTTGCCTCTGCATAAACGTGCATATACCACATACACACAAACTCTTTTGAGAATTTAATTAGTTCACCTTATCAAATGCATGTACTTTTAGCTTAGTAATAGTATATAGTGAACATTTTAAAGTAATTATTTTTATGTATATAAGTATTTTGCCTGCATGTATGGTACCTGGGAGACCAGAAGAGGCATTGGAGCCCCTTACAGATCTTCTGTAAGAGCAGTAAGCACTTTTAAGTACTGATCTATCTCTTCAGCCCCAAATTCTTGCTTTTGGGGGAGGAGGGTCTTTTTGAGACAGGGTCTCCCTGTAGCCCCAGCTGGCCTGGCACTATGTAGAGCAGGCTGGCCTCCGTCTTACAGAGCTCCACCTACCTCTGCCTCCCGAGTGCTGGGATTAAAGATGGATGCTACCACGCCTGGCCAAATCCTTGTTCTTTTTTTAATTTTATTTTATGTGTATGTGTGTACTGCCTGCATGTAGTTAAGTGCACCCATGTCGTGCAATGCCTGCAACAGAAGAGGCCATCAGATCCCCCGGAACTGGAGTTATGGACAGTTGTTAGCTGCCATGTAGGTGCTGGGATTTGAACCTGGGTCTTCTGCAAGAACAGTCGGTGTTCTTAAATGCTGAGCCATCTCTCCAGCAAATCCTTGCTTTGTTTTTTCTTTTGGTCTTTTTGAGACAGGATCTCCCTGTAGCCCCAGCTGTCCTGGATTCACCATGGAGACCAGGCTGGCCTCGAACTTACAGATTCGCCTGCCTCTGCCTCCCGAGTGAGTGCTGGGATTAAAGGCGTGCGCCACCATGCCCGGCCGAAATCTTTTTTTTTAAGAGCTGTAATACTGTATAATTTTAAAGCAAGCACAATGCAATTTAATGTTTCTTTCAAAAGTCTTATGCTGGGGTCTGTGAGATGGCTCGGTGGGTAAAGATCCTTGCTACCAAGCCTGGCAACCTGAGTTCAATCCCATCAGTCTCGGGAATTCAAGTGGTAGAAGGAGACAACTGACTCTACAAGCTCATAGTAAGGGTGATTTGTAAATATTTCTCGTACTTGATTGAATTGAAAAATTACTCCTTCCGGTCAGGCCCCTTGCCACTTTAAAACTCTTTTACTTAAAAGCAGCATAAGCAGCCGGGCATGGTGGCGCATGCCTTTAATCCCAGCACTTGGGAGGCAGAGGCAGGCGGATCTCTGTGAGTTTGAGGCCAGCCTGGTCTACATAGCGAGTTCCAGGTCAGCTGGGGCTACAGGGAGACCCTGTCTCAAAAAGACCAAAAAAAAAAGCAGCATATGTTCTTTCTCTAACTCATGTAACACTTCAAAAGTATTAATTTATTCTTTTCTACCACAGCTGAAATGGAGGAAACCAATAATCTTGATGTAACTGTTGCTGGGTTAGATCCCTTCTTGGCAAGCCCATCTGAAAGCGAGAAGTCAGCTTCTCAGTCAAGTAGAAGCTTCACGGAAGAGCAGCAGCAAAGAATTGAGAGAAATAAACAACTGGCCTTGGAAAGAAGGCAGGCAAAGTTACTGAGTAATAGTCAGTCCCTGGAAAATGGTAAATTTTATGCTGGTTATTACAAGCTATAATAATATCAAGGACATATTAGAAATTTTAACTTCTTTACTATCCCTGGAAATAAAATACCTGTTGGAATAGAAAAGTAGTATTAAATTTATGTATACTTGAGTATGTTACTTATTTTTACTATTTGGAATCCTTAAAGAATGTATGAGTGAGGACCCGGGTTCGAGTCCCAGCACCCACAAGGTGGCTACAAACCGTTCTTAACTCCAGTTCCAGGGGAATCTGAAGCCCTCTTTGACCTCTGTGGCATTGCACTACATGGATGCACTCACATACATGCAGGGAATACATTCATACACATAAAACAAAAATAATCATAATAAAAAAAAGAATGTTTGAGTCTAAGATGGTTCTCTGGATAACCCAGTGTCTTTTTATGACGCTAAATCCTTCAACGTTATATTCTTCCTTGGCTCCTTAAAGCTCTTTACTTGTATTAGTACTGGGGATTGACCCTAGCACCTGTACCTGCTAGACAAGCACTATATATATGTTACCAGTTAT